TCGGATGTCAACATTGGCAGGCTTTTCTGTGCTCATGGAGAGAATATGTGAAAGCTCCTGCCAAGAGGGGAGAAAAATGGATTTGCCCACATGCACCCAGCCCACTGATCTGTCTTCAGAGACAGAACGAGGAAACTACCTCTTTGATCCAAAGCTATTTTTATCTGCCTCCCAACAGTGCTTAGGCTGCATTAGGAGTGTTGTGGGGGGAAGGGGCCACCAGCAGGCTGAAACGATGGTTAGCATCGGCTCCGTTCTGGAAATGGCATATTTTGTCTTTGTGGATGGTGCCGGAGGGTCCCGATTTGGGGCCAGCGGCTGATGGAAGTTGAGCAGTGGTGTCCCTCCTCATGTGCCATAGGCACTGTCCAGGCAGGAAAGGAGGCTATGATAGTGTGTGTCAGTTGTCAACCTGACACAATCTAGAAGGACTTGGGAGATGGGCCTCCTAGCATGTCTGTGAAAGATTATCTTAATTACACTCATTGATGGGAGAAGACCCGCTCACTGTGGATGGCGCCATGTCTCTGGGTTGGGTATACAGAGTTATGTAAAAGTGGAGGAAATGAACTGAACTCTGGTATTCATGCACTCACTTATTGCTCTCTGCTCATGACTATGGGTGTCATGTGACCAGTTGTTTACCAAAAGCAGCTTGGGGTTGAAAGGGTTTATTTGGCTTACATGTCATGAATCACAGTCCACTGAGGCAGGGACACAAGCAGAACAGGAAGCTGGAGGCAGAGTGGATGCAGAGGCCACGGAGGGGTGCTACTTACTGGCTTGTTCCCCTGGCTTGCTCAGCCTGCTTTCTTATAGAACCCAGGACCACCAGCCCACGGGTGGCACCACCCACAATAGGCTGGGCCCCTAATTAAGAAAATGTCCTCCAAGTTTGCTTAAACCAGATCCTATGAGATATTTTCTCAATGGAGACTCCCTCTTCTCAGATGACTGCAGCTTGTGTCATCAGATGAGTCCTCGCACCACCCCGAGCCAGGTCTTGAAAGAGGACTTGGCATATTATGTAGCATAAAGACACTCTTGTCGGGATAGGACAACAGATTTCAACATCCCGAGGGGCCATATTTTAGTCAGGGAAGAAGACAAAAAGGAATGGATGGAGCCTAGAAGGTAGCTGGCCCCTGAAGGTCTGGTGCTCTACCTCCCTGTTGTCTGAGCTGGGCAGGGCTGACAGAATGCAAAGGGTTGTGGTGAGTGTGTGTGTGTGTGTGTGTGTGTGTGTGTGTGTGTGTGTGTGTGTGTGTGTTGGGAATGAGGAAAGCAAACATGCTTGACCATTCTGGAGGAAAGGATAAACTGAACACTGAATTGGATAACTTTTATTTAATTGCAAATGTTTACATTCTACAATTTTTTTTTCCCTCTAAGGCTAAGACAGTTAACCTTGTTGAGTCACTGTATAAAAACCAGTGATGGGCTAGAGATACAGCTCAGTTACTAGAATGTTTGCCTAGCATTCATGAGCCCAAAAGTTAGATTCCCAGCTCACCAAAAGATAATTTATTTATAAAATCTTCTTCCTTCAGCCACTGTACTCTGTCCCAAGTTATGCCAGTGGGACTGTACCACACTGTGATCTTCTACCTTAAATATATATGTATATATATACATACATACATATATATATACATACATATATACATATATATATACACATATATGTATTATACACACACATATGTAAAATCAGGGCTGACAAGATGGCTCAGCAAGTAAAGGGGCTTGCCTGCAAGCCTGATAATCTGAGTTCTATCCCCACAACCCATGTAGTGGAAGGAGAGAAC